CCGGCTAAGACACTAAGCAACAGAGGGGAGGTGGACCAACCTAGACTTGCCTGGTAGTTAGACTGATGAATATCTTAAATATCACCATAGAACCTTCATCCAGCAACTGATGGAAACAGAGGCAGAGACTCACATCAGAGGACTGGACTGAGATACCAAAGTCCATCTGAAAAGTGGGACGAATGAGAATATGAGCAAAGAGGTCAAGACCATGATGTGTTCACCCGCTGAAAGTTTGCCTGAGCTAATAGGAGTTCACCAACTCCAGCTGGACTGGGAAGGAAATGAGCATAGGAACAAACTTGTCACTCTGAATGTGGTTGACAATTGAATTGCTGGGGCAGACTGAGGGGCCACTAGCCGTAGCACCAGGATTTATCCCTACTGGCTTTTTGAGATTCTATTCTCTTTGGATGTATACCTTGCTTAGTCTAGATAAGTAGGGAAGGCCTTGGACCTTCCACAAATCAAAGTGCCTTACTCTCTCTGAGGATTGAATAGGGGTGTGTTTGGAGGGTGTGTGGAGGGAATGGGAGGAGACAAGGAAGTGGGAACTTAGATAGGTATTTTTAAAAAATCTAAAAATTAAAAAATATGTATGTTGGATTAATCCAGCAGCAAAATCAAATGTCTTTTAGCAGAGCAGCTGTTGCCCCTTCCTCAGCATTCAAACAATTCAAAAAGAGCATAACATACACTGACCAGATTCTCTGTTTGTTTTCCATCTTTATATGGCTTTATTTTAAATTTAATTTCTTTTATTTTTACTTTTAATTTTTGGCTTTTTTTTTTGGGTTTTTCAAGACAGGGTTTGGCTGTAGTTTTAGAGTCTGTCCTGGAACTAGCTCTTGTAGATCAGGCTTGCCTGGGACTCACAGAGATCCGCCTGCCTCTGCCTCCCGAGTGCTGGGATTAAAGGCGTGCGCCACCACTGCCCGGCTAATTTTTGGCTTTTTGAGACAGGGTTTCTCTGTGTATCTTTGGCTGTCCTGGAACTCACTCTGTAGACCAGGTTGTCCTTCAACTCACAGACATCTGCCTGCCTCTGTCTCCCACTTTGGGATTAAAGGTGTGTGCCTCCACATCCAACTACTCTCTTCCTTTCTTTTTCACTTTAACGACTTTATCCTTTTTTTTTTCTCTCCCAAGCCTACATATATTTTTAAATGTACTGTAAACCATTTAGAGGTTTCTTTTGACTGAATCTGTCCTATTGTGCATCTGTAATCCTTTTTTCACTAGGACAGCTTCTTAAAATGCTAAGTTTTTCTTAAAATCCTAAACTGCACCATTGCTGGGGCAAACAGGAACCTGCCTGCTTGCTCCGCCCAGCATGACATGGTGGAACAAGCGGGTGCTTGTTTGATACAGAAGAGTAGGATGGAATCTAGGAGATGTTTTAGCAGAGTTCATTTCGATTAAAATATTGGACCTGAGAACTAAGACCTAAACTTTCCCCTCAGGGAAAGAAAGACTTAAAATAAGGAGTGACTGGAACCACTGTTTACTTAAGAGGGGGCAGCCTAAGGGCTTAGTTACTGCTTAGAGACTGGAGCAGAACTGGTGTTTGACAGCAGTAGTGCCACTGGGCTCTCACCCATCAGAAAAGCTTTCTTGTCTTTTGATTAATATGGTTTTCAGAAGATTGTGATATGTTAAATTGTGGATTTATTGTTAATTCCCATTCTAGAACTACAGTATTGACCTGGTAACGTTTGTAACTGCTTATAAGATGTTTAGAAAAGTTTGACACACCCTGTACAAGTTTGGATTTAATGTGTGTGTTAAGAATTCTAGAATTTGATACAATGTAAAAAAAAAATTAAGAAATGCTCTAGACCAGCTGAAGAAACATTTTCAACTCAGGCGACCCTCCTCTTCTTTAAATAGGAGACTATAGTCGTTAGAAGCATGATTATTCATAAAACATTATGATCTCAGAGCTCAAAGGTCTTCCTCTCCTTCAACCTCTTTTGTTCACAGAAGACAGCAGTCAGAGACAGGTTTGAAGCTTCTTCTCCCCAGATGCCTAAGAGAGGAGCTCACATGAATAGAATGCGGTTCCAACTATTGGTAAACTTGTGTCAATGAAAGAGTCTTTGATTAAGGCAGATGTGATCATCTGTCCTGTTGCAGAAGAACAGGTTTTAATAAAATTATTAAGAGAGTGGGTTGTAGGGTCATATTACATAGACCCATATTTCTATATTGTATGGCGGTCAGAATTTCAGGCCTACCAACAAAGTTATAGCATTTCTGACTCTGGTGGTGGCTCCATAGCATCTTTCTGACTCCACCCTCTTTCTCCCAGCATTCAGTCCAGTCCTCCCTGTCCACCTAAGTCCTGCCCTATCTACAGGCCAAGCCATTTTCTTTATTCATTAATGGTGATTACAGCACACAGAGGGGACTCCCACATCACCCAGCTCTTCATCTTCATACAGCAGAGCTGTAGGGAGCCTTTTCTCTGCTGGGCCCACTGCAGCAAGCATGCTTGTTCTTCCTCCAGATGGGGCCTGAGTCGGGGATCAGCTATGACCTTCAGGCGCCTCCTCAGTGCTCGTCTGGGTAGGAGGACCGTCACTACTTGCTTCTTTTCCACAGTCTCTGCTGTGCAGTCCCATTCCTCTGTTCTGGTCCATATTCTCCAGAATTCATAGCACCCTCGCCACAGGTCGAGCACTTGAAGTTTCTCCCTCCTGTGGGTAAAAGTTCTGAAGTGTAAGCTGAGCAGCCAGCATCAGGTTCTTACCTCCACCTCAGACAGAAATCCTCAGACTGAGTGTACTGAATGCTGTTTCCTCCTGCATTATATTCCTCTCTCTGCCCAGCAGGATCACTTCCTGTCTCTACCTGCCTAGTGTTGAGATTAAAGGTGTGAGCCACCACCACCTGGATCAAGTGGCCTTGAAATTCTGATCTTTCTGCTTTCTCCTCCTTAGCACTGGGATTAAAGGTGCTACCACTGCTACCGACGAAATCATTACAAACTGTAGGATTAAAAGGCTAGAGATTGAACCATCCAATCAAACTACAGCTTGGGTTGCAAGATGGGACTGCAATAGGGAGGGGGAGGTGAGCAGAAGGGTATATAAAGAGTTCAGGAGGCCACTGAAGATACTCAGAGACCTGAGCCTGGAGGAACTGCCTGGTTCAGCTGGGATAAGGAGGCCCCCTGTTGTCAGTGCTCAGAACTGGTGAGTAGATGTCCTCTGTGGGCTCATGTAGTTTGTATCAGGACCTTGAGATTGAAGAAGGGACTGGAAACTTTTATTCTGTCTCTCCAGATGAACACATTTAAGCCAGTGGGTTTGATTCTAGATGAAGTTTTACCTTCATCTCAGATGTCAATCTATGACAGTTTGTTGATTTCATTATGGTTGATGATTGTTTTGAGACAAGGGTTTCCTACATTGTCCAAGCTGTCCTAGAACTGGGCCTGTAGTTCTGGCTAGGCTGGGAATCAAGATCATCCTGAGTCACTTTCTCTCATACTGTGGTACATTCAAATGAGTGTTTTCAATAGTTTTTGTGGAACAAGGGCTCATGTAGACCTGTAGACCACATGTCTTTGATTCCTTAACTGTTCCTCTACCTAAACCTTCTTCCTGGGGAGGTGTATCTGTTAGGGTCTGAGAGAAGCCCCCAAAGAAGACTAACAGCCATGTATGCAATAACAAGAGAGCTTTATTGATTGCAACGTTGGGGTGGCAGCTAGCGAACCCCAAAGAGGGTCACAAGCTCCTTATAAGCACAGTTAGGAGAATTCTGGAGAGGAGGAATTAATCTGGGACTGATTGGTGGAGGAAAGCTTAGTATGGGGGATGATGATGAGTGGAAGGTTCTAGTTGTTAGGGACCTTCCATCAATAGGGTATGGAAAGCTATCTTTAGTCATTGGAAGACTGGCAGGGGGGTGCCTGCTGAATCAGCGAAGTGATTTTGGGGGCCTGTTTGGTCAGCAGAAGGGGATGTGGAGTGCTAGCAGAAGCCTTGGTTTGTCTGAGGATGGTCTGTTTAACTCTGTCCCATTTTAGTGAACCAAAACTTAGGCTTAGATTTTTGTCTAGGAAAAAGCATGGTCTGCCTCCCAACTTTCTTGGTATCCATGGCTTATTTCTGCTTAACAATTCTGTTCACATAAACCACTGAAGAGACACACAGCAGGGATATAACTAATGACTGGAGAGACAGGCCATTTTCCTTTTTACTGCAAGCAGACCCAAAGATGTTCTGCTTATCATAGGTACAGCATTAATGACATATTGTGCAGACTCTTGTAGGAAATAAGACACAATTATAGGGCTGCCTTGTGACATGGAGTGTATCCATGAGCTCTGAAGAAATCTCTTATTGAGGACGTCACCCTGAGGATCATAGCACTCCAGAGGTGCAGGTTAATGCTCTACACTCAGTCACCCTTTTCAGGGTCACTGTATGTACATTCAATGCTTTCTGACAGAGTCTGTTGGACCCTAGAGTCCAAACACCGAGGAGTCACCCCCAGAGACCACCCCTCACACCACAGCTGATGTAAAAGCATGAAGATCTTATTAATTCTGTCATGACAGGGTCCCTCAGCATTTTGGAAGCCGAGAGACCTCGAATAGCTGGTACAGGCTCCTTTTAAAGGAGAAGTCCACAGAAGCAAGGGGGATGTTCTTTGACTATTATGATTGGCTTATTCGAAAGAGCCATTACCAATAATTGGCTGGAGATTATTGCCAGATCAGATGAGGTAAGAGGTCATTTCGACCCCGTTTCCAAGGTACTGAACCAAAACATACGTGTATGGGTAATTGTTAGGTCCTTGGTTCCCAGGGCAGGAGGGGAAGCACTAAGGCATGGAGGCTGAGAGGGTTCAGAATTGTCTTAAAATTTTACAAGTCATTGGTATTGGATTTTCCTGAGGTGAGGGGTGGATGCTTGCCTGAAGAAAGATCTTCAGAGGATTGTTGTATTCCAGAGGCCATTCTGGGAAGAACAAGGCTACTTCAATAAATGAAGGCGAATAAAGAGAATTCAAGCCCTTCAGTCCCATCAGCAAACATGGACCACACAAGACCATGTTGGTACTGGGAAAAGAAGGACTTGGTTCATACACCCTCACAACTTGAAGGACTTGATCCAGCCACTGAGGCCCAGTACCGCCAAAACGGGGCTTGCTTCATCTTTGATGTGGGCACACATTTGGGCTTACCCTACGACACCCTAGCAACAGGGATCACGTATTTTCATCGATTCTACATGTTTCACTCCTTCAAGCAGTTCCCACGCCATGTAACAGGAGCTGCTTGTCTCTTTCTGGCTGGGAAAGTAGAGGAGACGCCAAAAAAATGTAACAATATCATCAAAGCAGCTCATAGTTTATTAAATGATGTCCAACGTGGTGAGTTTGGAGATGAACCGGTGAAAAAGGTCTTGGTGCTGGAGAAGATCTTACTACAGACCATACAGTTTGATTTAGAAGTGAAGCATCCATACCAGTACCTACTCAGATATGCAAAGCAGCTCAAAGGTAGTAAAAAAAAAATTCAGAAGTTGGTTCAAATGGCATGGACCTTTGTAAATGACAGTCTCTGTACCACCCTGCTACTGCAGTGGGAACCAGAGATCATAGCTGTAGCGGTCATGTATCTTGCGGAACATTTGCACAAATTCGAAATTCAAGAGTGGACCTCCAAACCCACGTACAAAAGATGGTGGGAACAGTTTGTTCAAGATCTCTCTGTTGACATTATGGAAGACATTAGCCACCAAATCCTGGATCTTTACACACAAAGGAAACAACAGAGTCCTTATCATGCCCTTCCTCAGCTGCAGAAGCCCCCATCTCTTCAGCCTCCACCACAAGTCCCACAGTCACACCCATCTCAAGGCCCTGAGGCAGCACAGCCCCAGCAGAAGGACCAGCATCCGCACCAGGAGCCAGCACAACAGCCCAAGGAACCACCCCCACAGCCTAGTCCTCCAAGACAGATTGAGCATACCATGGTAGATTATCCCGAGGAAGAGAACGAAGCCACAGTACCACCACCTAAAATTCCCAGACTTGAGACCACTCCTCTACCATTGCCTCCAGACTGGAAGTCTCCCATCGCTCCTGCCTTAGGTGAGGCTGGTACAGGTGGCCCAGGGGAAGCAAGTGACCTCCCCAAAGTCCAGCTTCCTCCTCCAGCCCACCAGGCCACTGTGCACCACCCACCATCATTGGGGCCTCTACCCCCACTGCCTTACAGCTATGAGACTTGGATGTCTAGCACCAGCTCCTTCATGTCTGGAGAGGACTACCAGAACCTGCAATCCATGATGAAAAATGAGGGTCCTCCCTACGGTGCTCCGTGCCCAGCCTATGGCCCACCTGCTCAACTTCCCTACCAGCCAAATGTCTACTCCCCCAACCGACCTCCACCTCCTATTCTTCCACCCCCAGCTTCCTTCCTGCCACCCACCATGCCTCCCTGTATCCCACACTATCCTCTCCTTCTCCCTCCCAACAACCCCAATTTCCCACCGCCACCTCCATGCCAGTCAACCATTGATGTAGCCCATCCTCACTGTCTTCGAGGTTTGGTTTTGCGACCAGCCAGCTACCTACCTGCAGCTATTCCCCCTGAGAAGCAGCGCATTGTTGCCACACTTATCTCCCCACCTGGCAGGGGGAGAGGATGGCCAAGCTGGATGAGATAACGGGAAGTCCCTTTCCTTTTTTGCTTATTTATTTTAACCCCGATATACCATTATGACATACTCATCAACAATAGGATGTAAAGGACTGGACTTGGAAGGCTCACTCAGTTCCTGACCTTGAGAAGGCTGTCAGAAGATGGAGAGTACTGGAAACATGAGCAGGAGGCTCAGCATCCTCTCCTGTGCACGCAGCTGCCTTTCGCTCTCACCTCACTGCACCTGCCATTTGCAACAGGGGTTCTCTTCTTCTGGGGGGCGGTGAAAGGGAAAAAGTGTCACCTCAGTGTAAAAATAGAGAATGACAATAACGTGTTTGTAAATACTATGAAAATAAATTCTCTTATATGGTAAGCAGTGGTGTCTCCATGAAAAAACAGCAAAAAAAAAATCTGAGTTTTCCAATGGACTTGAAGAGTCCACTGAGTTGGTAGTAGCAGCAGGGTGCCTTGTATGTGCCAGACAGATTCAGGGTAAGAGGGGTCGGGCTGGGATGAGAGCAGTGCACCCTGGGTATTGCCCGTTGTGGTGTGACCACATCCAGTCTCGGTTGCCTTGTGTGTCTAGCACAGGGTTACTTTTGCTAGTGAAGATGGTAAGTAACTACATTGGCTCAGTACATAGCTTCAGAACCTTTCTTCACCGTCAAGCAAAAGAACTGATGATGAGGAAACCAGGTCAGCAGGAAGGACGCAGAAAGGATTACTCCACAGAAGATCTGACATCAACCCCACGGGTTCACTCCTTCCACCTCAGCACAGACTCCTTCCTGTCCGCAGTGCTTCACCTTGACTCTGACCCACGGCTGCAATGCGAGGTGCGTCCTCCGTACTCATCCCTACTGTATTCAAAACAGACAAAGCTGAGTGTGGTGGTGCACACCTGTAATCCCACCACTGTGGAGCTGAGGCAGGAAGAGGGAGGAAAGGTGACGCCCATACTGGGCTACACAGGATGACCTCATCTGAAGAAGCTGCCTGAACTTCATGGGGAATTGATGCAGGCTCAGCCCCAAGCTCTCACTCCTGGGAACTGTAAATGTGTGAGTCCTTTCCCTCCACTACCCTTTCTCTTTCCTTGCCCATCAATCCCCCTCAGTTTGCACACTTGCTGAGAAAGAGATCAGAACCCACTCTCACTAGCTCTCAGTCCACAGCTGGCTTCTGACTATGGCACCCCGTCTAGACAGTCAGCTGGCGGACAGCTCTACCCCTTCAGATTGTTGTCTGAGCCCTCTCTCAGGATGAGCAGACAGCAAACAATGCCCCACTTTCTCATGTGTCCAGCACTGCTAATCTACAGAGAGTGGGTGCCTGCTAATGACTTAAAGAACAAGGCTTCTTCTGCAGAGAAAACTGTCCGTTCTCCTGTACCAGAGCAGCTGGTCCATGTGACCCTTGAGGAAGTAGACAGTATCAAGCTGCACATTGAGTAACTTCAAGGTGAAATGAATGACAACCCTGTTGCTTCTTCTCTGGAGAGTTAAACATGCCTGTCTGTGATGGCCCCAAAAAGTGAGCGTATTCTACTCTGCTTGAACAGCAGAGAGTTTGAGGTTGCTCAAAGTTGTGGCAACAACTGTGGTTACACACCCCGACCTAGGGTGTGGTTACTTCGTGTTTGGGGCATAAAAATGGTCCATAGAGGTGTATCTTCACACTGACCAAAGGTCAGGGAATTCAAGCATACTTCTGCTCCTTTTTTTGAATTAGTTGGTTTGAACTAGGAAGTGGCTGCCTTCAGGATACTTAATCTAAGGAGGGTTCACTGCCAAAACAACAGAATGCTTTTCTCATGAATTAACCACTTGATGTCTCAAAGTATTGAAGCAAGTAACTGTTCTGGTTATCCTTTGTACCACGATAGAGCAATCTTTTGTCTTCCTCCTCTGTGGCACTGGAGTATAAAATTGTATGAAAAGTGAGAGACAGGTGGACACAGTACTCAGAAGTCAGAATTCAGCACTCAGGATTCACTGAATTGCCCTCCTGGTACTCTCTTATGCCTCTGTGTTTATTTCTTATCTCTGTCCCTCCTACCTAACATCTCTAATCCTCACACCTCTATTCTGGTACATACAAATCTGCTATGGCTAGGACCAAGACAGAAGACACCCGAAATGGTGGTCCCTGACATAAGGCAGCCCAACATGGCATTGCTTGTGATCCTCCCTTGTGCTGGAGAGAAGGATCTGTCACAGATATCTCATGCAGCTGGGGTAGGGGTAAAAGTTAAGAAGGGAGATAGAATTGTAGGTAAAATGCTCACGCAGGTACAGCATGTATTCCAGGCCCAACACTTCTAAGGTTTCCTGTAGTTGTGAAAGTACAGAGCCCAGACTGAGTCTTGCTAGACTACCCCAGAGCTTCCAAGACATCTGTTCATGAGATCAGCAGGAGAGCGCCCATCCAGGGGTCCTTCCTTAAGGTCCAGGTTTATCACAGCCTGGAAGGGTTGCTTCATTCTCATCCCAGTGACCCACCACTGCTTGATTCTTCCAGCCTGTGAGAACCAGTCACCTGCCATAACTTGAAGTTCCTACCCATAGTTCATGTACCCATTGTAATGGTTTGTCCTGTCCCCTTAAGAGACGAGCCCCACCCCACCCACCACCCATTCTCTCACTCCCGCAAGCAGATCTTATTTCTAGTTCCTTTCCATCTCTCTCCCTAAGAGGCCGCCCACTGCAGCCACTCTGGGAACTGGGTCGTTTTACTCTTACCATAACATCAGTACTTCCGATTTCAACCTCTTGTTTGGAAAATAGCCAAAGGTCTTGGCTTCCAGTTCAGGAGCCAGCATGGAAACTTTGCCTGTCTTCCAGCATGGCAGTCAGTCACTCTGTTCTCCATGGCTTACATGCTCCCAAGACCATGTCTTTGAGTCTACCCTGGATCACAGCTAGTACATGTGGGAGCAGGGATGGATTCCTTCAGCCATTGCAATATCTGCCATGAGTCCAGCACACGATGGCTCACCAGATGGTTCAACAAAGGGCAAAACTTATCAGTTTTCCAAGCTGGTGCTAGCAGAGGTCTCTGTCTACCCTTTGAATCAAGTTCTTCCTGACTCAAACTGCCTTTGATTTGACATCTCTGGGCCTCCCTTCCTTGGGTCTTACCTTCATTGAGACCTTATCTGGGTGTCTCTCATGTAGGGCAAATCATTTCCATTTAGAGCAACTTGGAATGTCTTCATGCGTTACCTTCCTCTGTATCAGAGTTCCCAGAGTAAAGTGTGAGAAGGATTGGTCCTGTATCATGGTCCCAGAACTAAGTGTGTTTTCAGGTGAAGGCCTGTTTGAACAGCAGTGGGAAGAAACTAAGGGCAGAGCCCCCATATCCAAGGGGTCAAATGCCTGATTCCTAGGCAGACTATCCCCTGCCAGGTCTTGGAATGTGGGTGGGGTCTGACACATGTCTTAATATATCTTCAGAGAAACAGATGCTGGAGAAACATCTTGGAAAAGATGTCCTGTTGTGTCAATGCTTACAGACCCTTCACTGTCATCACAGGGACTAAGTCAGGGCCTTTGCATGTGTATGGAGGTCAGAGGACAATCAGTAGAAGTCTGTTCTCTGCTTACACCATGTGGGCTCTTGGGATAAAACTCAAGGCTTCAGGACTGGAGGCAAAGGCATTTTTTTTCGCCAAGCTACCTTGCAGAACCCTTACACTTATTTTTAAAAATGAGATAGAAGACAGGAAGAAGGATGCTCATGGAATTGAGGGTGCGGGAGGTGAAACTGAGAAACACAGGGTCCAGGTGGGCTGGCTATACCGAAAGGTCAGTTAGGGCACAAACCGGATTGTAAGGAGGCCGACAAATTCCCTAAATACTCTTGAATTTTGAAATTTTGTTTTGTCCTCTCTGCTCTACCCAAAATCTTTCTAGGTCATCCAGACTAGGATCACACTCATGGATATCCTCCTGTTTCAGTCTCTACAGATTGACATCCACTACCAGCTAAACTGTGAGCTTTTGATTTAAATTTGCAAAAAATCTTTGAGGCAAACATATACTTTTAGATTGTTTTCATTTTACATCGTCTACGTTTGTCTGCGTAAGTGTATAGCATATGTGTGTACTATCTTCAGAAGTCCAAAGAGGGTATCAGTCCCCTAGCATTTTGTTGTTGTTGTTTTGCTTTGTTTTGTTTTTCAGCACAGGGTTTCTCTGTGTGGCTTCAGATCCAGTCATGGAACTAGCTCTATCGACCAGTTTGGCTCAAACTCACAGAGATCCGCCTGTCTCTGCCTTCCAAGTGCTGAGATTAAAGACATGTGATTAAAGGTATGAAATTTAAACCACGTGACCAGTTCTATAGTCTTCTATGTGGCTGTGGGCCACCTGAAATGGGTGCTGGGAACATAACTTGGTTTCTCTGAATAAGCAATAAGCAGTCTTAACCACTGGTCTACTTCTCTAGCTCCCAAGGCAGATAGTTTTATATTTTTTTCATATGGAGAATGAAGCCTCCAGTGTCCTACATGCTAGGGAATTTCTTTACTAATGAACCTCAGCTTCAAACCACCAACTAAATAATTCAGATTCCAAGAACTAGGATTTCTGCCTGCAGATTGTTTTGTGACTCACACCTGTATTTAGGATGCTGAAGCAAGAAGGCAGAAATGAGTTCCTGTCCAGCCTGAACTATACAGTGAGTTCCAGATGACAGGTTGTGGTAGTTTGAATGGAATTGACCCATAAGCTCATAAAGAGTGGCACTGTTATCCAGCATGGCTTTGTTTGGATATGTATGGCCTTATGGGAGGAAGTATGTCACAACTGGGGAAGCTTTGAGGTCCATGCTCAAGCTTCCCTCAGTGTGACCCTTAGACTGTTTCCTGTTTCTTGCAAGATATAGGACTCTCAGCGACTTCTCCAGCACCATGTCTGCCTGCATGCCACCATGTTCCCTGTCATGATGATAAGGGACTGAACCTCTGAAACTGTAAACAAGCCACCCCAGTTGAATGTTTTTATTTATAAGGGTTGCTCT